TGTATTGTCTTTAAGTGAAATGTCAATAACATTTTTTACTTGAGTTTCAGAGACAGTTCCAGTAATTACATTAATTCTTGTTCTTACTGGTCTAAAAGGGTCTGATAATTCATTATATTGTTCTATACGAGAACCATCAAATTCAAATTCAACAGTGATATAAAGTCCTTTATCTTTATTAATAATTGGAATTTTTAATGTAGGACGGTCATTGTTCTTAACAAAATATGCACCAAGCTCTGAACGTACCTTTCGTGTTACTTTAATAAAATTGACATATTTATTAAAATAGTTCACAAGATAACGATATTTCTCTTCAAGACTATTTGGGTTTTCAAGGACCCAATAAGCAATTTTATTTTCATCGAAACATTTGTTATTATTATTGAATAACATTAAATGACGATACCTTCCATTTAACTCAACTTTACAATTTTTAAGATTTTTATAATATTTGATAAAAGAGTTACAATCTTCGGGAACAAGACTTGAATAAATGAGATGAAGTAATGTATTACCAGGTAATTTACAAATAACACAATATCCATAAATAACAATCTCCCCAATAGCTGGAATGGTTATCGTTCTAATATTTTTTGAAGGTGGTTGTGTTATTGTAGAAATTTTATCTTCTTTTGACGTAAGAAGTTTTTGTTTCAGTATTTCTATCTCTTTTTGCATATTTTGAATTTCAATTTTTCGTTTTGCTATTTTATCTGCTAATTTAGCGTAATATGATACTTTCAATTGATGAACACTACTTGTTAATTGACTGATTGTATTTTGACAGAGTTCTTTATATTTAGCTACATATATTCTTCTAAGAAGTTCATGAAGACACTCTTCTATTCTAAATTGTTCATCTTGTGATAATGTGTTGTATTGTTGAAGAATAGGTGGCAGTGGAGTGAAAAGAGTTAACATTGTATCAACTGGAGATGGTTTCATTGAAGATAATAAAAGATAAGTACTTGTAATACAATGTTCTAATGACTTTTTGTAATTCATAAAATCATCTTCATTTTCAAGTTCCGTCTGTGGACGGTTTTCATTATTTATATAATTCATTAATGGAAGTAAATATGAAGTAAAGATAGGTAAGTAGTTTAAGTGAATCATTTTTGTCACACTAATGATTGGTTTGGCATTTGAATTTCCTGGAGTTGAAAGGGCAGATAATAACTTGATTTTTCTTGACTTCAATGAATCTTCTGATACCCTGCTAACTTTTGTGATATAATTTGTTGTTGGACGAAGTGGTGTTGGAGATGAGATAGGTCGTGACATTCAATGAACAAAGTTAATTTTTGACTTTATTTTTTTTATATTTTCATAATCATTTTTATTATTTTGTTATTATAAAATCAGAAAAACCTATTTTTGAATAAAAAATAAAAAAGTAAATAAAAACTAGATAAAGAGATAAAAGATGAGTGATAATGAGATAAGTGATTTATTAGAAGATTTAGGTAGTGAAGACTTAGAAGAGATAGAAGAAGAAGAAAAGGAGATGGAAGAGGAAAATCAAAATGAAACGAATAGTGAAAGTGATAAAGAAGAAAAAAATGATAATTTACAAACAAATACAAAACCAATAAATGAAGAGAATGAAGAGCCACATGGAATTATTTATCTTAGTGTTATTCACAAAGGACTAAACCCAGGGATTATCAAAGGAATTTTTAGTAATTATGGTAAAGTAAGTCGTATGCATTTCCTTGAAGATAAAAAAGTTTGTTATTTACTTCTTTAAAAATAAAGATAAACCAAATTTAAAAGTTATACTAACAGTTTTATTATAGAAAAAAGGAACATTTAAAGAGGCATGGATTGAATTTGAAACAGAGAAACAAGCTAAACTTGTTGCTTTAATGCTAAATGGAAAAGTTATTGGTGGTAAAAATCGACATTCTCCATTTGCAGATAAAATTTGGAATATTAGATTTATTAAAGGATTAACTTGGGGAAGAATTTTTGAAGATAAAGAAAGCAAACAAATATCTCAAGAACAACAAATAGAATTTGCAATGAGAAAAGTAAAGAAAGAAACTGAAAGTTATTTAGCAAATTCAAAGAAAGTAAGAAATTCAAAATTTGCAATGAGACGTAAAGAAAGAAAAGCAAAGCAATTAAAAGAAAAAGAAGAAACAGCACCAAAAAAAAATGAAGAATGAGAAAAGGAATAAATTGATTGAATATTGAATGGTGTAAGTTGTATTTTAATGAAAAGACAAGAAATTTTAATAAATAATTTTAACTTGAAATTCAAATTGATAATTTTTTTTAATCAAAAAAGAAAACTTAAAAATAAATACTTCTAAGTGTTTAAATGGCAGAGTTTCAAATAGATAATTTAGATAGTTTAATAGAAAGTGAAAATGTAGAAACAATAAGAAATTATTTTAAGAAGAAAAATCCTAAAGAAATTAAAGATATTTTAACGAAACAAGTTTCTATTTTAACTGTGGCATTTCCAATTTCATATGCAATTGTTAAAAAGAGAGTGAGAAGTTTTAATGAGTTACTTGATATTTATATTAAAAATAAATTTGATATTAATCAACAAGTTTGTTTATTGTTTTATTGAAAAATTATAATTAATATTTCTTTTAGGATGATGGTGGATTAACAATTCTTCATTACGCTGTTCAAAGTAAAGATTCTCGTTTTATTACTACATTGTTAAATATTCCAGGAATTAATCCTTATGCTCCAGATAATGATGGACAATCTCCTTTCATTTATTTTCTGAGATTTCATGATGAACCAACTATTGTAGAATGTTTAGAAGCATTTATTAAATGTTCTCGAATAATTTTAAATAGTAGAATTGCTTCAGGAAGGTATAAAGGAGATTTTCCTATTAACATTGCATTCCAAAATCAACGAAGTTGTGGTATTTTATTAGAGACATTCTTAAAAAATGGAGCAGTTCCAGACGTTACAAATTTTTCAAATGATGTTCCACTCTTATACGCTGTTCAGAAAAAAAGACTTGATCTTGTGTTATTATTACTTAAGTTTGGAGCAAGAATTTATATTGCAAATAATGCAGGAAATTCTCCTCTTTCAATTGCTATGAAAACCGAAAGTAAAATTACTTCTGTCTTTTCACTTGTTGATAGTATTCATATCAAAATGAGAAATGAATTTTCATTGACACTTCAATATGACCTTCCACGTATGATTGGTATTGGATTGTTTACTGATGTCAGTACTTCTCAGGCAATGAGAAATATGATTAATATTGGAGTTAATCCTGATATTGTTAAACGATTTATGGAAGTTTGTAGGAAAACTGAAAAGGATTTTATGGAAAGTAGGGATGCATTTGACTTATTATATTATAAAGAAGATGAAGGAGAATTAGAAGAAGAAAAGAAACTTGATGTAAAAAGTATTGAATTTCTTGGAGAGTCAATAGGAAATAAAAATAAATTAGGTATGGGATTATATGGAGAAGTTGTGAGAGCACGTTATAAAGGAAAGACTATTGGAATTGAATATATTCGACTTGAGAATGAAGAAACAACTAAATTATTTGAAGAACAAATTGAGAAGAAATTAAGTACAATTAATCATGAAAATGTACTTCAAATTATGAAAACTTTAGTAACAGATAATTCAATTTGGATTATGACAGAATATACTGATAAAGGATGTTTATTTGATTTACTTCAAGGACCAAAATTAAATTGGGAAATTATTTGTGGAATTGCAATTGATATAGCTGAGGGATTAGTTTGTTTGAAAGAAAATGGTATTGTTCATGGACAATTAAATTCTACAAGAATTTTTGTTACATTAGATGGAAGAGCTAAAATCAGTGAATATGGATTTAAACAAATCTGTGAAAGACATAAAGAAAATCATTTAATTGATATAGAAATTGCATATATGGCACCTGAACAATTAAGTAATACTCCTGTATTTGATAATGAAGGAGATAAATATAGTTATGGTATGATTTGTTGGGAAATGATTACTCGTTTAATTACTGGAGAACATGTTATTCCATATTACAGTGATGAAGAAAATTATACTAATGAAACTGATGCAATTGTTAAGAAGAAAATTCTTAGTGGAAGTATTCCTAATATTGCTACAAGAGAAAATGCACAAGTCTTTACTGCACCACCAAAGTTAGGTAAATTATATAGGAATATTTGTCAAACAAAAGTTGAATTAAGAAATGGATGGGATAAAATTATTGAAGAATGGAGAAATTTTGATGAAGAAAATACAAATGATCCAAAAAGATGGAAAAATTGTTTACAAACAGATGGAGAAATTTGTCCTGGAGAATATGCTAATAAAAAGTTCAAGTTAGTTAAAGCAGCAGAAGAAGTTATGAAATAATTATTCGATTTTTATTTATGTTTTAGTTATGCGTTTAGGAATTTATTTAATGAGAAATAATTAAGTTTAAATAAAAAAACATCATTATTTTATTTCTGTTATTCAGTAAGGATAATAAACAGAATTTTATTCTGAAAGAAAAAAATTAACTCTAATTCAGACAATACAATCTTTTTAAAACATTTATTATTATTGTTAATGGTTAAACTCTTTTATAATATTATAATAACATAAAATGTAAATAACTAAAAAAAAAATAATGTTATATATTCAATTATTCTTACAAATGGTAAAAAAAAATCAATTTGTTTTACTTAGACTTTATTATGGGAAATAATTTAACAAAAAACATTTTATCTTTTTATATTATTAAATATTTTAAATAATTTGTTAGTGATAATAATATAGAATTAATGTATTATTATTATCACTCTCTAAAATATTTTATTACTTTTTAATATTTAAGGATGTTAATTGTCTGAGCATTGGTATGGTACAATATTAATTGTAATGACTTTTTTCTGTTTATTTTTTTTATTGTTTGAGTGAAATTTGAGATATTATTATTTATAATAAATTTATAATAAAATTATAGTTTTTTTGAGATAAGAAAAATAACAAAAACTATAAAAACCATAAAAATGACTGAAGGAAACAATAACAAGAATTCTTTGGAAAGTGAAGATTCAAGTGATTTTGGATTGGACATAGAGTCACTCACTCAACAACGACAAATTAATTTAGTTAAAACTCCAGAATTACTTTCAGAAGATGATACTCAAACCCTTAATATACCACACAAAAAATTTCTTTCTCATTCTAGTGTAACACCACGAATATCAAATGAATATGAATCAAAAGATCCATTTGAAACTCAAATTAAACCAACTAAATCAACAATTTCTTTAGTTCATAATTTAGATATGTCTGATGAGGAAATTGAAAAAATAAGAAGTCATACACCTCGAATGGTTCTTGCACCAACTGATACTGTTAAATTAGATGATGTTATTTCAGATGAAAAATTACTTCCTGATACTGAAGAATGTAATAATGTATCACTAACATATACTTCAATGAAAAATAGAATTGTTGAGAGAAGAATGGGAATAGTTTTTTCAAATACATCTCGTGGATTTTCTTACATTACATTTATTTTTCTTTTCTTATGTTTTATTGCTTATACTTTAATAGCAACATTAGTATTAGATCGTACAGAAAATTGTGCTTTAGAATATATTGTTTTCTTCTTCATTTTTGTAATTTGTGCTTTTTCAAACCAATATGTTTCTCCTTTATTCCATGCATTAATAGTAGAATTTAATCTCGTATGTTATCCTTTCTTTCTTATTCCAGATGAAGTTCACTGGTACTCTATTTATATTTGTTCAGCTTTATGTCTTTTTCTATTGACTGTATTAGTCTTTGCATCATATAAAAGAGTAAAAAGAATAATTACTAGACTATTAGGATTTAGGGAGATATCTTCAATTTCTCGGTCGCTCACATGCAGTGGTCAGGTTCAATATGTTATTCAAGACGGATCATCTCAAATGACACTAGAAGGAAAATTTGACAATGGTAAAGCAGAAGGATTTTGTACATGGTTAGACACTGCTGAGCAAGGAGAATTATTAATTGGGACATGGATAGATGGTGTTCCTGTTGGACCATTTGAGTCAACAGAGAATAACTCAAGAACTATGATGAAAAATGTAAGAATTTTATTTGCAACTGATGCAGATGGAACTATGTGGGGGAAAAGAAAACATCCATTCGTTGGTGTTGCAGGTGTTGAATGTATTATTTCAGGAAATTATTATAGTGTATATCCTAAAGTTAATATGGTTTTACCACCAAAGGAGTGTCGATGTGGACAGATATGTCATTGTTTTAAAGAGTTTATTGAAAATGGATTATATGTTACTGATAAACCAGAAGATAAAACTAATATTGTTGTTACGGTAGATCATAACAATAAAGGGTTTTTTATAGGAGGATATCGTCCTATTGGAGAAGGGAAAAGTGTTGAAATAAAGATAACAAGAAAGGAAGATAAAAGTTATTTGACTTTGGATGATAGTTGGATGCCATTGAATGTCAAAAACGAAAGTGAGGGTTTAATTTATATTCATTCTGGAGGAATGTCATTAACAGATTCATTAAAGAAAATGGGACAGTTACTAGCGTTGGGTAATTTCCCTGGACATGTTGTACCAATTTGTTTTAATTGGCCAGTTGGTAAACATTCATTACATGGGAATAAAAAAGCTAAAATGATGGCAAATAATATATTCTTACAGAATGATTTTGTTTGGTTATTACAGTCATTATATCAAGCTAAATTTAAACGAGTTCATATTCTGTGTCATGGTGTTGGAGGTTATTTCTTCTTACAAGCATTTGAGACTATTCAATGTCTATTTTCTATTTATAATTCTCCAAATGATATTACTATGAATTTAGTTAACTTAGTATTAATGAATTGTGATTGTTCATTAGAAGAATTTAAGAATAAATATCAAGATATTAAAAATATTGTCCAAAGAACTACTATTTATTCAGACAGAAGAGATAAGGTATTAAAAATTTCAGAAAAATTATATCATGAAATTGCTGTTGGGCATTGGACTGACCCATTGTATGATGACAATGGAGATGTATTAGAACGAGTGGAAGTTATTGACACGGGTGATTTGGAAAGAAATGATGATGGTTCAAATCATGGATTCTTCAATGTAAATAAATTAATGGTTGATGATTTGTTTGAGTTAATTGGACAAAATAAAGGAGCTTCATACAGATCGTCCCATTTATTAAGAGAAAAAGATAATAAATACCGTTTTTCTTTATTGCCAAAGTCTGTTACTATGGTATGACTGTTATTTTAATTAATTGTTTAATTAAATTTAAATTATGCATTAAAAAATTAATTTTTTCATTGTTAAATCATGTTTTATAAAACTAATTCTTGAGTCAGTACAAATTCTATATAAATTAATGAATACAACAACTCTCTAATTTTGACACAATACTTTTTGCATGAGTACGTTCAAAAGGTCTTTGGTTCCAACATGAATTTATTAAATCAACTGTCCAATTGTCAACTTGTTTTTTGAATGATGGACGTTTACCTTCTGTAACAAATCTAGCTATAGTCCATTCATAAGGAAAAAGTTTTTTTGGAAAAGGAGGTTCCCAATGAACTGTTTCAAACATAATCATTCCAAATGAATATATGTCAGCAGAGGTTAAATATAAGTCTTTTTTTAATACTTCTGGTGCTACATATTCAACATTAACAATTTTGTTACAAAAAGATGCATTTGAAGTAACCATGTCACTGCTTCTTTTAAACCCGCAATCAGTTAATTTAGCATTTGTCTCATTAAGAGAATTGTATGAATAAATTAATATGTTTTGTGGTTTTAAATCGCAGTGCATTAAGTTTTTATTGTGGAGAAATAAAATACCAAGTGCAGCATCATGTAATATTTTATACCTTAATTCCATTCCAACTTGATTTGATTTTTTTTCTTTCATCAAGTCTTTAAGACTTCCTAATGGAGCATATTCTGTTACAATAGCCAATTTATTGAGTTGGAATATTGCCCCAATAAATTCTGTAATAAATCTTCCTCGACTACATTTATCAAATGTAACAACATCTTTAAGAAATACTTCAGTCATGTCAACTTCTTGTTTTAGTATTTTGATATTTTTCATTGCAACTATTTTACCATTATAATTTGCTTTATATGTTGTCCCAAAAATACTTTCACCAATAAGTTTAATACGAGACACTTCATTGTGTGCTAACCTCTTTGTTCTTTCTGTTTCAAATTTAATTGGAATATTAAAGAAAGTCATTTCACCAGTTTTCATATTTAGTCGTGCAAAAGGAAGTAATCCATTAAATGAACATGAACAATTTGGCTTAACTGAAATAGTTAACTCAACTGCAAAACCTTCTTTGAGAGCAGCAATATTTGGTTCAACTTTAATTTCAAAATTATCATTTTGAATCCCCAAATATCTTAATTGAATTAATTTAGAACGTTTATTTGCGATAAAATATTTCATTTTAGTTCTTTCATTTACACTAATTACTTGAGTTCCAGAATTAGTATAATCAATACACAAAGAACTAATTAGTACTTTACTTTCAGGTAATTTAAGTAAATGTATTGAACTTTCTTTAACTTCAAAAATGATTTCTTTACATTCCCATGACTCTTTCTTTGGATCTCTTCGATGAGCATAAAGTATTAATATAACTATAATTACAAGAGCAAATAAAAATAATAGAACAAATGTAATTGAAGGTGTTCCAATAATGGCAAGCAAAGTTAAAGAATAAACACATTCATCACCTGCAGTTGATGGTGTATATATTTCTGTACATTTTGAACATTTATGAGCAGAATATTCAATACATCTTGAAATTTCTCTATAATATATACATTCTTGAGTAGCATTTCTATAAACGTATTGATCTAAACATTCAATACAACCTTTGTTAGAAACACATAATCCACATCCTAATTGACAACCAAGACACCTATTATTTTCAAGATAATAACCATTTTGACACGAAGTACAATGATCTTTTTCAAATGTTTTACAATGAAGTATAGTAGAAACAAGTTGACAGCTATTATCCAATGATTTATAATATCCTTTTGAACCATCACATGTGATACAATAACTACTTTCATCATTACATTGTAAACATGATATATCACATTTATTACATCTATAATTTTTTTTATCATAATAATATCCTTTTTTACATATTGCACATCCTTTTTTATTTGGTAAAAAATGAAGACAACCTTTATTTGCTTCAATAAGTGTAGTACATATTCTTGATGTAGAATTATATAAATATCCAAATGAACATTCAACACATTCTTCTAATCTATTTATACATTTAGCACAATTAATATTACAACTTATACATTGTCCATCATATAAAAAATATCCCAAATTACATCTCTGACATCCAAATACTGATTCTATTTGACAATTATCAGTCTTTTTTGTTGAACTACAATAACTTGTTCCATTAGGCAGATGTATTAAATTTGTAGTTTTACATTGAACACATTGACTTCCTTTTTGTATTAAACAATCTTCTTGAGAATTTTTTTCACAAACACCTATTGTTGAAATAAAATATCCACTATCACAACTAATACAATGAGAAGAAGAAATTATTTTACAATGAAAATCTTTTTTATAAATACATTGATTATTATAGAGAATATAATCATTATCACATTGAATACATTCTTCTTCACCATTTTTATTACATTCTAAACAATGTTGAATTTGACATTTTTTACATTGACCCTCTAATAGATAATAAGATGAATTACATTGAATACATTGATTTATACCATTATTTTGACAATTGTCTATTAATTCACATTCAAATTTATTATTTAAAAAATAATTCTTTTCACATAATAAACATTCTTTAGAAGAAGAACAAATAATACAATGTGTATCTATACATTTTTCTGGTTGTTTATATTTTATTGAATTTGAAATAATGCATTCATTATTTAATGTAAAATAACAACTTTCATTTCTATCATTTGTGGAACAAATACCAGAATTTGAAATTGAATTAATACATTCTTCACATCCAAATGAATGATCATGATAATATGATAAACAATAATTTTCATTTTCATATTTCTTACATTTTCCATTTCTTAAAATATATCCTTTTTCACATTCTATACATTGTTCTAATTCATTTATTTTGATACAATTATTCCTTGATATATAACATTCATTTGCTTTATTTATTTCTTTATTTTCACAACTTAAACACATTAATGATGCATCACATTTTGAACACCCAATTGTTTTCTGAGAACAATTTTCACATAAGTGTGTTATTGTATTTAAATAATATTCTGATGAACATTTTAAACACCACCGTTTCATAGTATCACATTCAATGCAACCATCAATTTCAGAACATCTTCTACATTGATTTGATTCAAGAAAATATCCTTCTTGACATACTCTACATTTATTTGCATCACAAATACTGCAATGTAAAACTTTTTCTTCACATTTTTTACATGAAGAATCCTCTAAATAATATCCTTCTTCACATTCAAAACATTCATTTAAATTACATTGTTCACATGAAGAAATAATACTAGAACATAAAATACATTCTTTTTTATCGTTTAGTATAAATGGTGATTGACATAATTCACACCCTTCTTCACTACAGACTAAACAATTTAAATATTTATCTGCACAAGATTGACATTGTTTATTTTTTGTTAAATAATATCCTTCTTCACAAATACTACATGAATTATCATGTTCGCCTGAACATGTTAAACAATGAGGAATATTACATTCAACACATTCACAACTAGAAATCATTTTATTATTTGAACACAATGAACAACAATTAGAATTTGTAATATAACTAATACAATTAGTTATATTAGAACGTTCACAACTAGAAATGGAATTTAATAAATATCCAGCTATACAAGTAGTACAATTTACTCCATTTGTTTCAGCACAATAAAATAAATTCATTGAAAAACATAATTCATTATAAAGAATATAATTTGTTTCACATTCAATACATGCTTCATAATTATATTTTATACAATGAGGAACATAAATACAATAATTATTAATCATTGTTATTCCTTCTTTACATTGTAAACATCTTGAAGATGATCCTTCATAATAATTCATTGTATTAAAAGGAATAAGACAATGTCCATTTTCTTGATTTTTTAAACATAAACTATTCATTGGATAATATCCATATTCACATACTAAACAAATAACTTGATCAATAAAAACTGTAGTGTTTAAACAATTTGGAATCATATAATTTGAATTATTAATTCCATTTAATAAATTAAGTGGTGTATTAAATATTATTTCTTCTTCTTGATATGTTAAATAATTTAAGTTATTTTCTAAATTAATTTTATTTAACATAACTGTTATATGTTCATTATTAGAGTCTTTAATTTTTATACAAGTCCCATTATATAAATGGTATGAATCAATACACTCTTCACATTTACTTTTTGTAGCTTTTAAACAATGTGCATTATCAATAGAAATACATTTTTTTTCTTCTAAAACAAAACCATCAATACAATCATAACACCCTTCAGAATAACACCCACTCATTCCACATGTAGAATCACATTTTTGACATATTCCTTCATTTGCATAATAACCCGTTTTACATAAAATACAATATGGCTCACCTTGTATATTTGATAAGCAGGAAATACACTGAGAAATAATTGAATTACAAAAAACACATGTTTGATTTAAATACACAAGATCTTCTAAATAATTACATGAAGTACAACTATTAAGGCTATCACAACTATCACATATTTTATTACAAACTACCTCCAATTATTATATTATAATCAAAATATAATTGTGTATTAATAAAACAAACATAAACAAGAACCACTTTGAAGGTATTTCCCTTCTTCACATTCACTACAATAATTTTGATTATCACATTTTCGGCAATAATTGTCACATGCTATTTTTTAATTCTTTTCTTATCACTTTACAAAAACGAATTTAACAAACTAACACATTGAGTCCCATTCCACATCATTCCTTCATAACACCGTGAACATGTCTTTTTTGATGTACATGAAATACAATAGTCAGGACATTCTGAATTACGTTAATTGTATTTTCTTACTTATCTTACATTTAAACAAACTTTTACACTCACCTAGATTTTTAAAACATCCTTCATTACATTCGTTACATCCATCAGTCATTTGGTCAATACAAAAACACCCTGTTTCATCCTGTGCTTTAACACAATTAAAAATCCAAAGAAAAGAAATCCACCAAAATACTTGCTGTTCCATGTTTCTCTTTTTTTTTTTTAAGATTTTTGTTTTTTTCCCAAAAGAATAAATACAAAACATATTAATAATTTTATTAACAATTAAAATACTATAATTATGAAAAAATGATTAAAAAAAGACAAAAAGAATTATAAAAGTAATAAATAATAACTTAAACTATATTCTTAAAAAGTAAATGAAGTTTATCAATTTTTATAGTTCATTCATTATAAAATGACTGAAGAATATCAACCAAAAGTTATCTTAATTACTGGTGGTGCTGGATTTATAGCATCTCATGTAGTTATTCATTTTGTAAAACATTATCCACAATGTATAATTATTAATGTAGATAAATTAGATTATTGCTCTTCATTAAAGAGTCTTGAAGGAATCCAAGATGCTCCAAATTATAAATTCTATATCGCTGATATTACTGACCCTCATACTATGCAAAAGATTTTTGAAATAGAACATGTTGATACTGTTCTTCATTTTGCAGCTCAAACTCATGTAGATAATTCATTTGGAAATTCATTCCAATTTACTCATAACAATATTTATGGTACACATGTTTTATTAGAGGTGTCTAAAGCTAATCATATTAAAAGATTTATTCATGTCTCTACTGACGAAGTTTATGGTCAAGTTATTGGAAATGCTGCAACTGAAAACTCTTTATTAAACCCAACTAATCCATATGCTGCAACAAAAGCTGGTGCTGAATTTATTGCTCGTTCATTCTATCAATCATTTGGACTTCCACTAATCATTACAAGAGGAAATAATGTATTTGGACCACACCAATTTCCAGAGAAATTAATTCCTAAGTTCATTACCCTTCTGGACAGAGGAAAAAATTGTCCAATTCATGGTAGCGGTGAAGAAAAAAGAAGTTTTATTTATGTCCAAGATGTTGTTAACGCTTTTGATGTAGTCTTAAGAAAAGGAATTGTTGGACAAATATACAATATTGGAACTACAAGAGAGATTTCTAACAATGAAGTTGCACATGCCCTTCTTGATATTTTCCAAGTACCAAAAGAAGAACAAGACTCAAGAATTTATCATGTAGAGAATAGATGTTTTAATGACCAAAGATATTCTCTTGATGTTAGTAAATTAGAGAAGTTAGGATGGAGAGCCACCACTTCATTTGAAGAAGGACTTAAGAAAACTGTTGAATGGTATTTAGGACATAGAAACAATTGGGAAAGAACAGATGAGGCTCTTGTTCCACATCCAAGATTTGGACAATAATCAAATAGTATATTCTTCATTGACTTAAAACCTCAAAAGTTTTTTCTAATTTAATTATGTTTGATATTCTTTTTATACATCTTCACTAGTACTGGTACTTTCATTCTTATCATTTATTAGCTCTGGTTCACCATTTTCTTCATTTACTAATTCTTGTCTTAATTTTTCTTTTACTTCAAAATATTCTTTTTCGTCATTGTTATTAGCAACAAAAATAGCTGTTTGTCGTTCTTCTAAAGTTTTATCAATCATTTCAAAAATAGAAGGATATTCTGCAATTAACATTTCAACCATTGTATAAATATTTCCAGTAATTCCTTCATTTTTTGACCAACATAAATTTGGTGCTAATATTTTTGCTAGTGTTAATGAATCCATTTGAGTATCTTCATGATTTAATGAAATTCTATAACAAAGTTTCATTAAACGATTTAAGAGTGCTTTATTATATAAAGGTAATTTATCAATATATTGAATGATTAAAACAATATTTTTTTCTGGTGTTTC